CAGTACACCGTGGGGAGGGTGACCATCGTCGGGACTCTGATTCTGTGCTGCCGGATAACCAGCAGGTAGTTCACGTGGTCATCGAGTGAATGGGCAGGAATTCTGGGCCAGGACTAGTTTGCGATGAGCAGTTTGAAGTGGGACACTCACCAAATGGTGTATTTAGCACCTCTATTTTTCTAGAAAATATACCAACTTGGGCAGCCATCCCTACGGGGCCTGCTGTTGAAATACTTCCTGAACATTCAAAACACGTGGAATCCTGCTGTGCACAGCCTCCGGCACCCCCGCCCCCAGCCCTGCTCGGGGAAGCGGAGGGGGCTCCCCACCTCCCCTCACGCCAGCCTCTTCCCAAGAATGGAACCAGGAACCCAGTGATTTGTGTGGTTCTTGCTAACAGACAGTAAGTTTCAGGGGGCCGGGAGCGAGGGCGTCAGGTCAAGGGGAACGACTAGGTGAGAAGCCCTGCAAGCTGGTTCTGTGCTGGAGCTCGTTTAGGAACAGCACGGGGCCATGCAAGGGGGTGATGTGCCCGTGTCAGATGCTCGTGCCGGGTGGGAAGCAGGGGAGGGGCACACAGGAGGCGGGCTGCCCTGTGGGACCACCGCAACTCGGGGGTCTGCGTCTGGACCCCAGGCCCAATGACCAGGTTACACACGGGCGCCTCAGCATCACCGGTACGTGGAATGCGCTGATTTCGGCTCACACGTGGCACCAAGCTGGGTGCCGGGCACGGCTGCTCCATAGCATAGGTTGCCTCAGCTCTGGAGCTCCTGAGTTTCAGAGATGACCAGCATCCTTGGAGACCACGGCAGGGGACTTGAGGATGTGGTGGGCTGCTGGGGCTCTCGGAAGGTGGGCACCGTCCAGCTGCCCTTCAGGACCACAAAGACATGAGGCGGCCTTGGGGCTTCCTGAGAGGGCTCTGTGCCGGTGCCTGGGCGTTTACAAAGGTCAGCTGGTGGTCTCAGGGCCCTTGCAGCTCCCCCGCTCGGCCCTGCTTAACACCTGGCTCCAGGCTGTCCTGCCCCTGTGCCTGGGGCTGCTGGTGGGCAGGCCGTCTCGTCTGGTCTGGCACGAAAGCTCTTCTGTTCAGACGGCGAGGGGCTCTACAGAGTTACGATGTACGATGGTGAGGTCTGGCAACTGTGGCTTCTCGACCAGTGGTGGAAAAGTGAACACAGGTCCCTGAGCCCAACTCAGACAGAGGCCTTTCTCCATCCCAGGCCCCGAGTGCCCACTGCCGTGAGGGACTTTGCCCAATGCTCTGCAGGGGCTGTGCGGCCAAGAACTGCACGCTGAGGCTCACTTTTACGGTCTGCTTTGCCACTTTTGACCATCTTCATCAGCTCCAAATTGGCACTGAGCTATGGGTTATGCAAAACCAAACCAAACCAAACCAAAAACGACTGTGAGAGCAAGTGCTCTGAGCTCCCCGCACGAAGTCCTCTCCATACTCTGTGTGCCTGTACCCATAGTGTCGCCATGTTTCTTCCCGCCTTCCCCAGCGGGCCCCAGTTCCTTGATGGCATCAGGGAGCCAGCATTCTGTGTGTGGGCGGCCTGGTCCTGCAGCCCGGGTGGAGGGTGTTGGCTGCAGTGTTGCTGTGCATTATTGTATTCAAAACTGACAGGCGGGGGGCTTCCCTGGTTGTGCAGGGGGCAACTAAGCCCGTGCGCCACAACTACTGAGCTTGCGCTCTAGAGCCCGCGAGCCACAACTACTGAGCACGTGCACCACAACTACTGAAGCCCGTGCACCTAGAGCCCGTGCTCCGCAACAAGAGAAGCCACCGCAATGAGAAGCCCGCGCACCGCAACGAAGAGTAGCCCCCGCTTGCAGCAACGGAGACCCAACGCAGCCAAAAACAAAACAAAACAAAAAACAACGCAAAAAACTGACAGGCGCAGTCACATCCCTGGCTCAGATTGAGGGCTGAGATCACCCTCAATCTAAGGGAGAATGGAGTCCAGTGCTAAACGAAGCTTTGAAGCAACAGGAAAAGGTCCTTGCCCCTCAGTGGGGGATGGGGGGCTTCCCCCCTCCAAAGCACAAGGTGATCTGGAAGAACTCAATTTACACCCTTGGCTCCTGCGGGCTGGGGGATCAGCAGAGGGCGGGATAATCCCAGCTTCTCGAGCAGATGGTCTCTGACTACCGCTTGACCCAGTTCCCTCCCAGCAGATGACTGGCAGCAGGGCTGAGAGCTCCTCCATCAGGGGAGCAAAATGTGGACCCTCCTCGCAACCTCCTCCTACCAGCAAGGACACGGTGCCTTTTGCGTCTTCCCAGCGCCAGGGTGATGGGCGGGATGCTGCACCTTCCCAAAGGTGTGGCGCCCTCCCCTCTTCCCCCAGGTCTGTCCAGACCCGGTGGAACTCACAATAAGAAGGATTGTAACCCAGCAGGCAAGGAACGCTACTGCGAGCTTGTGCTGGGGATCAGGGGTGTGAAATCCTTCACTGGCCTAATGAATTCTCCCAATCAGTCGACCAACCAAACTTTCGTTCAGTAAAAGCTCCCCTGACTGTCTGCCGGGTCTGGCATCAGACAGAGGCCTGGTCCTTGTCCAGCAGAGCCTGAGGCCCCACACAGGAGACAGACAGGTGAAGAGGTAACAGCCAGGGCCTGGGCTGAGGGGCCTAACCCGGCAAATGGCTATTCAGGGCAGCAGAAGGCCATGGCGGGCTTCACCGAGGAGAAGAGATTGGGCTGGGTCTTGAAGACTGAGCATGAGTTTGCCAAGTAGGTTGGGGGCTGTGATGATGGAAAGAGCCAGAAGACCACAGCACGTGTGCCCGGTGGAAGATGCAAGGAAAATCATAAAGGTGGGTCGGGCCTGGTTCGGAAGGTGGTGGCCCAGGCTGCCCAGGAGGCAGAAGCATCTCCTTTCTGCCCAAGGGTCACAGGCTTTGGGACAGGGCAAGAGGTGGAAACCCGAGGGCACGGGGTGCTGTGAGTTTGGGAGTGGCAGACGATTGGGATCTGGAGAAGGCCCTAAGGAGTCAAAGGGCTGCCCTTTCGGGGCCCCTGCTGGGCCCCTGCTTCCGACCTTGGGTTGGTAAAGCCAGACCAGCCCCCTTTTTGCACCTCGGGAGCAGCCCTGCGCACCTCCGGGTCGGTTCCTCGGATCGGGAGGGAGGGGGCGCTCGGCCTCCAGACTTGCGGGCCTCGGCGAGGCTGCGGTCCGGGCTGAGCGCCACAGCGGCCGGCTGGCCAGAGAAGCTTGCGATGAGGGACCGCGGGGGCGGGGGCGTGCCCTGAGCTGCAGGCCGAGGTCCACCTCGGGCGTCCTGGGCTCCCCAATATGCTAAGAAATTTAAAATACCTCTGTGCAGTCCCGTTGTTATGGAGCGCGGCCACGGTGGGTGGGGGCCTGAACCACTGAGGGGAGAGGGCAGGGCCGTGTTCCTGCTGCGCCCCGGGAGCACCGTCCTGCAGTTCCATACCCAGGTAGGGGCGCGAGGAGGTAACAGAAAGAACGGATTGCATTTGGGCTGGACGGGGCTGGGAGTCTGGTGCCCACTGACAGCATCTCTTGTCTGGCGGCCTGAGAACGGTGGCCTTGGAATCATAATTTATTGAGTGCTGGGAGAAGCTTGACCCGGTCGCCTCCTCTGGGGCTCCCCACCAGCCCTTGTGATGTTAGGCGTTACTGTGCCCCAGGTACGGATGAGGAGGTAGGGGCTGGAATGTGAAGACTCTACGCACGGTCACTCCTGCAAAGCTGGCCGTGGCTGAGCCTCGACTGCGACCCGGGTCTGTCTGAAGCCAAGGTTTGCCAGTTGTGGGGTGGTGGCAGCAGTGGTGCTGGAGACCTCGCCAGCCTGCCAAGCCCGGAGTTCGGAGGCCTGTTGGCGACGAGGCCGGTGCCCCCAGCAATCGAGGAGTTCCTCGGGGCGCGCCGCCGGCATAGGCTGCGGCCGGCCAGGCCCTTCCAGCCCACGGGGCCCACGCCTCGCCCAGTGCGTCGGCGGCCCGGGGCGCTCGGCTCGGGCACTGCAGCCCGGGAGCGACATCCACTGGCAGAGTCAGCCCGCGGCGCCCGAGGCCGACTCGCCCCGCCTCGCCGCGGCCCCTGAGGGAGCACCCCAGGCAGGCCCGGGGCCGCTGCGGCGGCGAGAGGTGCCTCTCCCGGGCGCGGAGGGCGGCGGCCGGGACGGGGGCAGGGCCTGCGCGGCCGCGGGGAGGAGGAGAGCGCCGGGACCCTGGGCTGGGAGCCCGTCGGTGCCGCCAACCGCCCAGCTGGGCGGGGGTCCGGGGCGCCCACGTGGTGAGAAAGTTTCGGGACCGCAGAAGTGGCCCGGCCTCGCGGGGGGTAGGGGGGAGGGAGAGGGCCCCCACGCCCCTCCTTCTCGCGAAGGCAGAGGAAGGGAGCGGAGGGAAACGGGGGTGGGCGGGGGGAGCGGGCAGCACCGACCTGAACAGATTCCGCCTCCCCCTCCCCCAGCACCCCTCCCCGCCCCCGGGGAAGCGGAGGGGGGGGGCCGGGAAGGCCCCCCCCCGCCGGGCAGGGCCAAACCCCCCCCCCCCCTTTTTTTTTCTGCCAACGTCTATCTCAACGCGCGCGCACATACGGAGATTGTGCGGCTTTTTTTCCCCCTTGGGAGAAAAAACGAGGAGAGTAAAAGAAGAGAGCAAAGCGAAGAACTCCTCCTTGTTGGGTCCGCACTCTGTCGCGGCCGATCGGGCGCGGGGACGCGGCCGCCTCCCGCCTGCTCTCTCCCGGCCCTGCGGCGTGTGAGCCAGCAAGGACGCCCGCGCCGGGGACGCAGCGAGACTTTTAGGCGCTCGAGCCCGCATCGCCGCCGCCGCGCACCCAGAAGAGCCCGGGGGGAAGTGGCCCCCCCGCCGCCTCGCCTACCTCGCCCGGCGCCCCGCGCCCCGCCGGCCCGCGCAGGCGGGCGGAGGGAGGCAGGCGGCGAGGAGGCGGGCGGAGCAGAGGCCCCGGCGGAGCGCGCAGCGGCCGGCCCGCCCGCCCGCCCGCCGGTGGATGCGGCGCCCGGGGAGCCTGGAGACAACTTTGCCGTGTGACGCGCAGGGAGGACTGCAGGGCCCCGCGGCCCGGGGCTCCGCGCCGCCTCTGAGCGGGCCCGTGCTCCCCGGCGCTCCCGGCACCGCGCTCGCTCCGCTTCGCCGCCCGCTCGCCGGCCCGCGTTGAGGACGACCCGCCCGTCGCCGCCGCCGGCGGCCCTTCCTCGGCGCGAGGTTGAGGCGCTCAGGTGCGAGCGCGGGGCCCCGCCGCAGCGCCCGCCGCAGCGCCGCGCCAAGCCGCGGCAGGCTCCGCTCCGGGGGCCCGGGCGCCTTCGTTTCCGTCTCGGCCAAGTTGCGTCGACCGGCCCTTTCGCCACCTTACCCGCCCGGCGGCCGAGCCGCCGCTGCCGCCGCTTTCGCTTCACCCGAGCGGGGGCTGCGGGGCCCCGACGCGTAGAGGATGGGAAGAAGGCTGCGGATGCCGAGGCGCCCCGAGACGCCCGTGCGCCAGTGACCCTCCGGCCCTCGCCTAGCCCCGCGCGTCTCTCCGGCACCCGCGGAGCCCCTTCCCCGCAGCGCGGGAACCCCCGCGGCCCGGCCGGCCCCCTCCCCCTGTGAGCCGGCGGCGGCCCTCCCGGCGGGCGGGCGGAGGCCCGGGCGGGCGCGGGAGGGGGCGGGGCGGGGCGGCGCGCCGGGAGCCCGGAGCCCGGCCCTGCGCTCGGCTCGGCTCGCCTCGCGGCGGGCGCCCTCGTCGCCAGCGGCGCACCATGGACGGGCTGCCCGGTCGGGCGCTGGGGGCTGCCTGCCTTTTGCTGCTGGCGGCCGGCTGGCTGGGGCCCGAGGCCTGGGGCTCGCCCACGCCCCCGCCGTCGCCCGCCGCGCCGCCGCCGCCCCTGCCGCCCGGAGCTCCCGGCGGCTCGCAGGACACCTGCACGTCGTGCGGCGGCTTCCGGCGGCCCGAAGAGCTGGGCCGGGTGGACGGCGACTTCCTGGAGGCGGTGAAGCGGCACATCTTGAACCGCCTGCAGATGCGGGGCCGGCCCAACATCACACACGCCGTGCCCAAGGCCGCCATGGTCACGGCCCTGCGGAAGCTGCACGCGGGCAAGGTGCGCGAGGACGGCCGGGTGGAGATACCGCACCTCGACGGCCACGCCAGCCCGGGCGCCGACGGCCAGGAGCGCGTCTCCGAGATCATCAGCTTCGCGGAGACAGGTGGGTCGGCCCCGCGAGCGGCCGTCGCTCCCCCCTCCACCCCCTTCCCGCCGGCTCTGGCCGCCGCCGCCGCCGCAGCAGCCGCAGCCAGCGCGCCCTGGGGGGAACCCGGACTCCCGGCCCAGCCCGCTCGCCTCGGGCCCTGTGCGCTCCGTCCCGGTCGTCGTCCTCTTCCCGCGGGCAGCAACCCCTTCCCGCTGCCCTACCCCCGCCGCGGAGCGCTCTGCTCTCCACCCCTGCTCTCCGAAACGGGCCCCAGCGCCTCCGGGTGCGCGCCCCCCTCCCGGCCAATGCGTGCGGCCCTGGCTCCGCGGGCATTCGCTCGGTGATGGCTTAATGTTTTTGTTTCCCACGATCGGAGTGTAGGCTGAGCAGTGTGGATGGAGATGTGTGTGCTTGTTGATATCCGTGGGCCGGAGGAGTGTGTGTGTGTGCCTGTGTGTGTGAGTGTGCCTGCGTGAGAGGCCCCTGGGGCCGCTTCCATCGCCGGGTGGTGTGGGCTTGCCAGGATTGCTGAAGCCTCGCTGGGAAGAGCTAGGCAACCTCTCTTCCGATTGTGTGGGCACTGGAATCGGGCGGAAGGCAGGCTTCTCAACAGGTCCCATCATTTACGCAGAGAAAGACAGTGGCTCGGCTCCGGGGCAGCCCCGTGCCTTTCGGCTCGCCTGGCAGCGGCAGCAGCTCCTTGGCCTTAGAGCCAGTAGAGTTCGTAGTTAACAAAGGGTCGGAGTCCTTTCTGGAATTTTCCCCCGGCCCTGGATTGTAAATTTCTACCACTGTTTAAATGTAAAAATCAAGCAAGGAAAAATACCTTTCCAACTTTAAAAGAAGGAGTAAAATGTGCTCGTGCTGAAATACTGCAACTGCTTTCGGCTCCGCTGTCCTTTTCAGGACTTGAATGAGCCCGGTGGCTTTTGTGCCTGGAGCTCAGCCCCATTTGTGCCCAGGGGACTTCGGAGAAGGTTGCAGGGGGAAGCCCTGGGCAGGGTGGGGTGGGCAGGGAGCCTTGGGGGGGGTTGGTGGCAATTGTGTCCCCAGGCTGCAAATGCCCTTCCCCCCCCCCCAAGGCAGCGGGCAGACTGTGCTGGTGCCTCCTGGGGATGAAAAGGGATGAAAAGTTTTGCATGGCCTGGTGTGGAGCAAAGCAGAGACAATCAGGGCTGGTTTGTGCTTAGAAAGAAACACGTTGCCGTTTTAGCTGTCGGACAGTCAGGGGAAGCTGGACATGCAATTAGAGAGCTTGGATTAAACGGTGCTTTGGGGCCCCGAGTAGAAATGTGATTCTGGAAGGTCGAGGAGGCCTTTTGGTCCCGGTGGCACAAAATGACAGCGGGGGCTGTTATATTTCTGGTCCGTTTCACGGAGCCAGCTCTTTGACTTATAAATAACAGATTCAGGTCACAGGCAGCTCGTCCAAGACCAGCTTTTAAGGCTGCACTTTCCCCCATTTCAAAGTCAGATGTCTGTTATTAGAGGAGCCAGGCGGGGCCTGAGGAGGGGGCTGGGAGGGGGGGCAGTGGTAGGAGGGTTGATAAAACCAGTGGAGGCCCCACAATTTGCCTTTTTTTTCCTTCCTGCAAAAAAAAAAAAAGTAGAGATTGTCAGAGAGAAGGGTCACTGAAATGTAGGATGAGAGAGGAGTCCTCTTGGTTGGCATGGCCTCACTTCTGCTTGAGCTAAATTATTGAGAAAACTAACAAGCCAGTTCTCCTTATCCATGGAGATTTCGAACGTGCCGTTCACGGGGAGCCAGGGTCTCGTGAAAGGGGTGGGCCTTAAGTTTCAGGGCCCAGTGTCCTGTCCCTTGGAGCTACTCGGAAACGAGGCTGCACTTTGCAGCCTGCAACGCACACGTTCCTGTGTCAGAAATCTAAGCAGAGCTGGCTTGTCTGCAGTGGAGGTTCCACTGGGGGTTGGATCAGATCATGCTTAGGTAAACACTGCAAAGAGGCAGTAGGTGGCTCAGCTGGATTTTGCAATGCCCTAAGTTAACCAAAAAAAAAAAAAAAAAAAAAAAAACCCAAACTCTGCTAGAACAACCCACCCCCAAATCCTCAGCGAGATCCTGGTTTTGTTTTTCGGATTTCACAGATACCCGTAACAACTTGTTAAGATCTTGGCCTCCTGACAAGTTCCTCTGTTGAGCTTTGAGTTCTGACAGCCTGTCTCCTGGGAACCCTGGCCTGGGAGAGGTGAGGCCGGGTTTTCTAGGCCCGGACCCTCCGACTCCAACCTGGTCCAGGTTTCTCGATGGGAAATGATTTTCTCCGCCTCTGCCGGGTTACCATCAGAGGCCCGGGCCCCAGGAGAGGTATTTGTGGGCAGGACCGGCCAGCTGCGTGGCCAGTGCAAAGCCCAGCATCACGTGGCAGAGTCCCTGTTTCCCGGCGCCTCACGTTCTCCTTGATCTAACTTGGCCTGCTCTCCCGCTTCTCCGCAGATGGCCTGGCCTCCTCCCGGGTCCGCCTGTACTTCTTCATCTCCAACGAGGGCAACCAGAACCTGTTCGTGGTGCAGGCCAGCCTATGGCTCTACCTGAAGCTGCTGCCCTACGTGCTGGAGAAGGGTGGCCGGCGGAAGGTGCGGGTCAAGGTGTACTTCCGGGAGCAGGGCCCCGGCGAGCGCTGGGCCGCGGTGGAGAAGCGCGTGGACCTCAAGCGCAGCGGCTGGCACACCTTCCCGCTCACCGAGCCCATCCAGGCCCTGTTCGCGCGGGGCGAGCGGCGGCTCAGCCTGGACGTGCAGTGCGACGGCTGCCGGGAGCTGGCCGTGGCGCCTGTGTTCGTGCACCCGGGCGAGGAGGCGCACCGGCCCTTCGTGGTGGTGCAGGCGCGGTTGGGCGACAGCCGGCACCGCATCCGCAAGCGGGGCCTGGAGTGCGACGGCCGGACCAACCTGTGCTGCCGGCAGCAGTTCTTCATCGACTTCCGCCTCATCGGCTGGAACGACTGGATCATTGCGCCCACTGGCTACTACGGGAACTACTGCGAGGGCAGCTGCCCGGCCTACCTGGCGGGGGTGCCCGGCTCGGCCTCGTCCTTCCACACGGCCGTGGTGAACCAGTACCGCATGCGGGGGCTGAACCCGGGCACCGTGAACTCCTGCTGCATCCCCACCAAGCTGAGCACCATGTCCATGCTCTACTTCGACGACGAGTACAACATCGTCAAGCGCGACGTGCCGAACATGATCGTGGAGGAGTGTGGCTGCGCCTGAGGGCGGGGCTCAGACGGTCCTGCGGCGGGGGGCACGCCGTGCGCGGCCGGGGGGCCGTGGTGGTGCCACTGGGCTGCCCGGGAGGTGCCCGGGGGAGGCCTGAGATATTTTCCTACTTCTTCATCCAGCCATCAGTCAAAAGCGGAGGGAGAACCCTCCACGGACACGGCAGACTCGACAGTGCGCACGTGGACGCGCACAGCCGGTGGCACCCTGCCACCCACACAGCAGCCTCCGCGATAGCAGCGAACGGATGCGGTGACAAAGGGCAGCTCAGCCCCAAACGCCTGTCACCCGGAGAGTGGGGTGAGCAGCCACCATCCCCACCAGCTGGCCTGGCCACTCTGAATCGCGCCTTCCGAGCACACAGAAGAGCACAAAGACAGAGACACACAGAGAGAGAGGGAGGGAGACCCGCAGAGGAGCAGCAGAGGCGGAGGTGGGGAGCGGGCCGCGGGCGATGGCCGCGTGTCCCCTGTCGCCTGTGCAGGGCCCGCCGTGCCGCGGCATCTCTTGGCTCCGACGCGTGGGCTTGGTTCCCCCGCCTGGGATCCTTCCTGCTGCGGCACCAGGGCAGCCCCCATCCTTTCCCACCCTTGGAGAGGGAAGGAGGCCCAGAAAGGACATCACCTGCCGGAGACGGTGGGGCTGTGGCAGTGACCGTTTGACTGTTGCTTGGGTCCCTGCCTTGACTTCTGTGTGTGTGTGTGTGTGTGTGTGTGTGTGTGTGTGTGTGTTTTGGGGGTGGGGAGGGAGGGAGAGGAGAAGGGTCTTAATTTGATGCTTTAACTGATCACTAGCAGTTGAATGGTCATTCGTTCCGGTTGTACAATTGAAAAGGGACTTTCCTACCAGGTCTGACCTTTTAAGTTAAAATCTGAATTGTTCCAAGTGGAAAGAAAAAAGTTGCAATCTGCCCTTCCCTGGGGAGATTCCTCTAGGACTGGTTGGGGAGGAGTGGAAATGACTCTTAGGCAGGTGGGGGTGAGCTCTTAGGAGGAGGGAACGGTGGGGTGAAGGCGTTCTGGAAATGCTGGGGGGGGGGTGCCCCCTCAGCAGGGGGCGAGGGAGCACAGCAGTTTAACTGGTCTTGGGGAAACGGGGGAGGCTTTCAGCTGCTTTGCAGAAGTGGCCCACGTGGGCCCCCGGCCACCAGCGCCGGCCACAAATGTGGCCCCCGCCTGCTCGCCCGCCCGCCTGCCCCTCCTAGCACTTGCACACCCGCCTGAACGCACATGATACAGCCCTTGCTTATCCGCGTGTGTCCTGAAGTGGCCCTTGGTGGAGCATTGAGCTCACTCGCCCCCAGAGGTCCAAGTGCCACGTGAGCTATGCAATTTAAAGGGTTGACCCACACTAGATGAAACTGGACTCGTACGACTCTTTTTATATTTTTTATACTTGAAATGAAATCCTTTGCTTCTTTTTTAAGCGAATGATTGCTTTTAATGTTTGCACTGATTTAGTTGCATGATTAGTCAGAAACTGCCATTTGAAAAAGAAGTTATTTTTCTAGCAGCAAAAAAGAAAATACAGTTAAATGTATTATACATAATTTTGGAACCAAAGAGGCCAACAGATCAGTTTTAATTTTTATTAGATGGTGAGGCCATCTTATATGAGGTGGACGTTCTGAACAATCCCTTGAGTGGCCTGCCAGTGTTTCAGGGTATAAATGGATTTTGTTTATTCAGTTTGATGTGTCTTTTCTATCCTTACACACCCAGAAGGTAGAGTAAAAAAGACGATGGTAGGATGCAGGTGTGTATCCTTAAATCCCCATCTTTGTGTTTATTTAATAAAGCTCCCCTTAGGTTCTGTTTCATAATAATTTAAAACCAAACAATTTTCCCGTAGACTTGCTGTTAAAGTATTTTACATTTGTGTACAGTTCAAGAAAATAAAAGATGGAGTGCCACGGGCTTCCTGCCTTGTGTGGTGTCTGGGGTGGTGGGCTCTGGGCTCGAGGGGGCAGCTGCGGGGGGAGGGCGAGTCCCGGTGTACGGCTTTGATGCCAGTTGCCTCCCTGGGCAGCTCCCGGCATTCTCTGAGTCTTTGCCACGAGCTCGGATGTCAGGCAGAGAGTCTAGGAAAAGTGGCAGGAGATCCAAATGAAGGACAATTAGCAAATTCATGAATTACACATTTGTTTACTCTTCTAGTCCCGAGACTAATCATGTTGCACCAAGGCCGCGTCTAGTACCGTTTGAAAGTGCCGGTTAAGCCCCTTCCCTGGGAGCAAATGTGAAACCTGGGAGGTTGAAGCCCACCTGACCCCATGCCCATCCCCATTTACTAACAGAGGCGACTGCGACCCGGAAGAGGTTACCGTCTTGGGATGGAAGCCAGAAATAAGGCCCTGGGGATGCCAGGTGTCCTCTCCCGTGGGGATTTTAACTGGCAGTAGGTGGTGGTGGTGTTAGTAGTGACACCGGCCCAACTGCGGTTGCAGGGATGCCCGGAGATACCCAGCGGATGCTGTTGTCAGGCCGCCCTTGTATCATCACGCCTTTGTGGGACATGGCGTTTCCCAGAGTTTGGAATCTGAGGCTCAGAGAGGTTCAGGGCTTACCTGAGGTCACGGAGACCTGACAGGCACCCTGGGCATTTGAGTCCAGGTGCCACGGCTGGTCCACCTGTTCCCCTGGCAGGACCGCAGGGCTGAGGCCTTGCTTCATCAGAGGCCCTACGGGGACAGAGGGGCTACAGCGTGTGGTTTGGGGGTCACAAGTGGTCTTCCCAGAAATCTCAGGACATTTCAACAAGTGGGACCTTAGGGGTTATCTAACCCCATTAAGCCAACAACTGGGAAACTGAGGGAGCTCTGGGCAGCTGGAGGGCCACCTCGATTCACATGGCCAGCTAGTGGCAGGACGGCAGCCTCTGGCCTCTGTCTTTTTCTAGTCTTTGCCCGGCCAAGAGAGCTGCTGCCCTGCCAGGCTTTCGTCTGAGGGGTGCATTTGTTCATCTGTGATGTCTCAAGATGGTATAAAAGTTAACAGGGGCAAAGAAGAAAATTTCGCAAAGACAGGCCTGGCCTGGACGTGTTAGGGTATAAAAGCCAACATCCAGTTGTCCCCGGCCCAGGAAGTTTTGCCGCAGTCACCAGGGTGCCTCTGCTCTTTTGACGTTGAGCATCTCCGGGCGCCCTCCTGGGTCACAGGGTGGCCCACGGGTCCTGCGGGGGGGCCCCAGGAATGGCCTGGGATTCCGAGGTTGGAGGCCAGCGGCCGGCAGACGTGGTCCCCGAGTGGCGCCCTGCTGCCCTGTGCTGGTCTGTGCCTTGAGGGTTCAGCCCCGCAGCTGCCCCCCGCTGGGGCGATGGCGGGTGGCACTTGCTGTCCCCCTGAGGACAGGCTATATCCCTGTCCCAGGGCTGGGCCTCCTCCCCCGCAGGGCTGTGCGGCTTCCTCCCTGTGCTTCTGTGGTCCTTGCCTCTCTGTTCTTTCCTCCCGGTGGCTTTTCCCCACATTCTCTCCCTCCCCCTCTTCCCAGGGGTCCTGGCCTAGGGTCCCGCCTCTCCCCAGAGGTGCCCCTGGAGCCTCCACTGCAGCCCAGAGAGTGAGCCTCCTGTGCTGCCCACCTCCCCCCTGGCCCAGGCCTTCCTGCTCTCCTCCCCTCTGTCCCTCTCTTCCTTCTTCAGGCCACCAGGCCATTAGCCTCTCACAGGGCCAGTGCGTCAGGCTGGGCCAGCCAGAGCCAGAGCAGCCAGCCCCACCCGCCTCAGCTATTTCCACGCTCCGGATTCGCCCTTGGCTGACCTTCAGACGTGCCTCGAGCCCTCAGCGACCCAGTGGAGTCTGAGGCTGGGGTCGGGGCGGGGGGCGGAGAGGACCCCCCACTCTTTCCTCTCGTCGCTTCTCCCCATTTCCCAGATGGGCAGATGGAGGGTCCAGGAAGCAGGGCCTCCAGGGGTGTCCTGCGTCTGCTTCCTCTCCCAGCCCCCTTGGGCGTGATGCCGTGGCCGCCCGGCGGCGGGGCTGGGGATCCCTGCTGCAGTTCCAGGCGAGGGCTGCTGCACCGGGCCGGACCCCTGGCCCACCTGGAGCTTGCGCTGGCCCCGCACCATGCCCTCGGCAAAGCCCTGTGGGAACTCTTGCTGGGGACCCCCAAGGGGCCTGGCAGGCTCCCCTCCTGGGCTTCCTGAGAGGGCGGGAGGGGGCGGGGAGGCCACAGGCTGTCGCCAAGCCACGGAGACGGCTGCAGGCTGGGGAAAGTGTGCCTTTGCAGGCAAAGAAGCCGAAACAAAACACCCTGCCAGTGGCCAGAGGCCCCGGTCGCTGGGCTTTCAGTGGGATGTTTGGAGCAAGCGGCAGATTACCTGCTGGCTTTGCCGGAGGGCCGGGCCTGCGGTCTGCGAGGCCTGGGGTGAGCCGTGCTTGGGCGCCGGGCCGGGCCGCATGGGGCTGGGGATGGGCTGCGGGTGAGGCTGCGTGACGTGCGGCTCTGCGCCTGGAGGTGCGTCTGCCTGTCTGCTGAGCCGTGGAGGGTGTGAGGCTCTCTGTGTCCGTGGCCGTGCGCGGTGGGCTGCGCGTGAGTTTGCCCGGGTCTGAGGTTGTGTGGCTGAGTGAATGTGAGTCCCTGTGGGGTGTGAGACTGTGATTGTGGGGTGTGGTTGCTCGGTTGTCTGTGTGTATTTCTTGCCATTTTCATTTTCTTCCTTGTCACAAAATGATGCCCTTGGCCAGTTATACACGGTGATGGGGTTCGTTATATTTTTAAATCTGGGCTAGATCACCCTCCTGCCAGACAGGTGCTGGGAGCAGGCGTGGGTGCAGGCACCATTTCTGTGGCCCGCGTGTTTGCCCTCAGTGTGTTTTCACAGCCCCGCTGCCCTGCCCTGGCCGTTCAGTGCCGGGTGGGGGGGCGTCACTGTGGTGTCCCTGCAGCCCCAAAGCCGGAGCACTTTGGAAGTAGAATGGGGACTTCCCTGGTGGTGCAGTGGTTAAGAATCCACCTGCCAGTGCTGGGGACACGGGTTCGAGCCCTCGTTGGGGAAGATCCCACGTGCTGCGGAGCAACTGAACTCTTGCGCCACAACTACTGAGACTGCGTGCCGCAACTACTGAGCCCGCGTGCCGCGACTACTGAAGCCTGTGCGCCTAGAGCCTGTGCTCCGCAACAAGAGAAGCCACCGCAATGAGAAGCCTGTGCACTGCAACAAAGAGTAGCCCCCGCTCGCCGCAACTAGAGAAAGCCCGCGTGCAGCAACAAAGACCCAGTGCAGCCAAAAAATAAATAAATAAATTTATTTTAAAAAAAAAAGTAGAATGGCACTATCTGGTCAGTCCTTTAGTCATCAACAAACATTTCCTGGGTGCTTGCTCTTATTTATGCATCATCTCAGTTTAGTCCTCACAACAGCCCAGGGCTGGATGGGGAATAGGTATCATTATCCCCATCTTATGGATGAGAAAGTTAAGTTTGAGAAAGCCATGCACTGAGGTTGGAACAGCTCATAAGTGGCAGAGCTGAGATTTGCTTCCAAGAGTTGTTTTCACAATCACTCATAGCCACTGGGTTGCCCAGGAGGAGGGGAGCGGGGGGCCCGTGGCTGTTCTGGGGCCTCCCTGGAGGAGAGGAGAGGCTGGGGCTGAGGGTCTTCTTGGCTTTCAGTTGGGAGGGGGCCACCCACTCACTCATGCCAGGCCTGCTGCCTGGGATACCCAGAGAGCCATGGCATCTGAAATTTGAACGGTTCCTCTCTGGCTGTGGGGACAGCCCCATGCCC